GTGTTTGATCACAGCAACCCAGGTTTACACTGACCTGGTACTTGTTTACACTTAATATTTTTGATAAGGCACGCTCTTTGATTTTTGGTCACAAGTTCTCTTACAACATTGTTTTTCTTTGTGATGATTTCAGATTTCATTGGTTCCAGGCTTTTATACATGGTCGGCTTTTCATAATTGTGTCACAAAACTTTTAAAATGATTTATTAACATTTATTAAAAGCCCACCATTTGAAAGGCAGTTTATCTATAACTTAGAATTAAGTTAGTAATTTTGGGAAACTAATCATATTTCAAAAAATTAACACAGAAGATCTTCATGATATTCGAAATGTATCAAAGTCTTACCATGCCTTAGGAACATAAGGACAAAAGTGACCAGTGGACATAGCTGGTTCTTTTTCAGTCCTGATATTACCTGGTTTCTCCGTGGCTTTTGACTCCATAGAACAGTCATTTTTGGGGGTGAGGCACTCTCTTCACTTGTGGTTTATGACTCTGTTCTTGTCTTTTTCCCTTCCTGTCCTTAATTCATTTATCCTACCCATTTCTTCAAAAACAGTCGTGTGCCAGTCCCTGCTTTAAATGCTGGAGAAAGAGGGAATAATATAGCATAGTCACTTCCCTCATTGAGCTTACAATCTACCAAAGAGATAAATGTTAATGATTCATTAAATAATTATTTCACACTTTTGATTAGAGCTCTTGATAAGTACAGGGTGCTATGAGTGTAAAATGAGTGGGCAGATAAGGCTTTCCTGAGGAAGGAGCATGTTAGGTCAGACTGGAAGGGCCATTAGGAGCTAGCCAGGTGAAGGGAATGTTCCAGGCAGAGGGAGCAGCATGTACAAGGGCCCTGAGCAAAGCATGAGGTTGGCACATACATGGAATTAGGAGAAAGTCACTTGAGAGACCAGTTGGCAGGGACCAGATCATGACATACTTTGTAGGGCCTAGTAAGACTTTAAGATTTCGTTTTTCCTCAAGTGCATTAGGACACCATTGAGAAGACTTGAGCAAAGGCATGATGTGCAACACCATTTAAGTCCTTTTTTTGGGATCTTATTTATTTACGTATCGCCTAAATTTGTGTTCCATATAATTCTGTACACAGACCTTTTCCCACGCTGCATATTCTCTATATACTGTACTGTGAGTGAACTTACCTACTTCCGTGGCTTCAGCTGTCACCTACAGCCTGCTGATTTTCAAAGCTTCTGAATCTATATACTCATTTCTTTCCTGGATATCACTACCTAGGTGGTCATAACTGCCTCAAAATGGGGAATTATACTTCTGGCAGTTACATTTTTATGAGGAAAAAAAGGTATAATTCTTAAATTGGAAGAAAAAATTGTTGTAATTTTGTTTTTAGGTTAAACCATCTGAAATTACTTATGTTCAATTGTTTTCGGTTTAAAATAATAACTTGTTTTTGTATATGCTTTTATATGTTTTATAAACTTTTTCTTAATTATGTTCCTTATTACGTTTTCCTCTAGTTTGGTGACTTGCCATCTGATAGGAATATTCCTTTGCCCCTGTCAAAAGAAGATGGAACT